GGGGAGGAGGAGGAGGAGGAGGAGGGAGAAGGAGGGAGGAGAGAAAGGAGGAGGAGGAGGAGGAGGAGGAGAGAGGAGGGAGGAGGAGGGGGGAGGAGGAGAGGAGGAGGCGGAGGAGGAGGAGGAGGAGGAGGAGGAGGAGGAGGCGGTAGGAGGAGGAGAGGAGGAGGAAGAGGAGGAGAAGGGGAGGGGCAGGGATGAGGAGGAGGAGGAGGAGGAGGAGAGGAGGAGGAGGGAGGAGGAGCAGAAGGAGGAGGAGGAGCAGGACGCAGGAACAGGAGGAAGGAGGAGCAGGAGGAGGAGGAGGAGGAGAGGAGGAGGAGGAGGAGGAGGAGGAGGAGGGGAGGAGGAGGGGGAGGAGGAGGGGATTGGTTTTTGGGGATTGGAGGAGGGGGAAGAAGGGGGAGGAGGAGGAGGAGGAGGAGGAGGAGGAGGAGGAGGAGGAGGAGGAGGAGGAGGAGGAGGAGGAGGAGGAGGAGGATGAGGAGAGGGAGGGAGAGAGGAGGAGGAGGAGGAGGAGGAGAGGAGGGGGGGGGGGGGGAGAAGGAGGAGGAGGGGGAGTGAGGGAGGAGGAGGAGGAGGAAGAGGGGGAGGGAGAGGGGAAGGGGAGGGGAGAAGGGGGGGGAGGAGAAGGAGGAGGGTGAGGGTGAGGGTGAGGGTGAGTTCCAGCTAGCCAGCTCGAGCGAGTCAAGCATGGCTTGCCCATTCCCACCCGCCCTCCCACAACATAAGAAACAGTGATGGCAAAACTGGGGGCTGCGCGGGCATTTCAGTGTCGCAGGTCCCAGAGCGCTGACTTCCAGGTCCCAGAGCGCCTCAGGAACGCCCCAAGAGAGCCGAGACGCCCCCGAGACGATCCGAGGGGCCTTGAGTCGCCGAAAGATCGTTCCAAGACGCCCGAGATGGCCTCCAGACGGCCGCAAACGCCGCCAAGAAACCGCGGGGAGCCTCAGGAGGCCCTCCAAGAGCCTGGACAAGCAAAAACCTCCCAGGCGTTCGTCACCCCAGGGCCTCCTGGAACGCCCCGGCGCCCAATGAATTGGAGAGCTAAAAACGTGCGCCGAGCCAAAGCGGGGGCGCACAACTTTGAGAAAAGTTCGCTCGGCGCCCAAGCGGGAAGGTCATTTCATTCACTTCGAGCGGGGAGTGTGTGCCGCGCCCAATTCTTGCCATGGCATTGCTTCTGACAAGTAAGGTGGCCCCTCCCGCCTTGGGGTTGCCCCAGAAGTCCGCGCGCGATGTGCGCCGCGCCCCATTCCTGCCACGCATTTCGCATTGTCGACGACAAGACAAGCCATGATGAAAGGAACAACGGCAACTCGGCATTGTTTTTTTTACAATCAGGATGGGAGGGCCCGCGGCCCGCATGGACGTCCGCGCGCGATGCGCGCCGCGTCCCATTCGTGCCACATCTTTCGCACCGTCGGCGACAAGGCAGGCCATGCTGAGAGGAAAAAACGGAGACTTCGTATGGATATTTTACAGTCAGGATGGGCGGGCCCGGATTGACGGCCGCGCGCGATGTGCGCCGCGTCCCATATGTGCGCCGCGTCCCATTGCTGCCACAGATTTCGCACCGTCGGCGACAAGGCAGGGCATGCTGAGAGAACAAACGAAGACTTTGTATTGATTGTTTACAGTCAGGATGGGCGGGCCCAGATTGACTGCCGCGCGCGATGTGCGCCGCGTTCCATTCCTACCACGCTTTTCGCATCGTCGACGACAAAAAAGACGATGTTGAGAAGAAAAAACGAAACAAAAAAAAAAAACGACTTTGTATGGATTTCTTTTAACAATCCGGATGGGCGGGTCCCGGATTGGGTCGCTCGCGGCCCGCCGGAACACGAGGTAGGTGGGGGTATGTTCCAATAAGGAACAAGGATGAGGATGAGGATGATGAGGAGGAGGAGAAGGCAGAGATGACGCGGGCCGCGGTACGGGAGGAGAAGGAGGGAGCAGGAGTACGAGAAAGGAACGCAGGGGGAGAGACGGCAGAAGAGAGAAGGGAGGAGAGGAGGATCGGCGGAAGGAGAGCGCGGAAGGGAGGAGGTGAAGAAGCAGAGCCGCCGTGGACATTAGGAGGAGGAGGAGGACGACGGTGTCAGTGCCGGAGGAGAAGGGAGGAGCAGAGGAGGAGGAGGGGGAGGAGGAGGGGAGGTAGATGGACGGGGGAAGTGCATGTACCTAGGGAGGAGGCTAGACGAGAGGAGGAGGTCAGGAAGGAGCGAGGAGAGGTGGGAGCGAGGAGAATTGAAGGAAGGGGACGGGTAGGGAGGCGAAGATGGAGGACTGAGCGCGCGAGCAGGGGAAGGGGTGAGGGGAGAAGGGGGGGAGAAGGGAGGGAGGGTGAGGGTGAGGGTGAGGGTAGGGGAGGCCGTCAAAGCTAGCCAGCCCGACCAGCTTCCAGCTAGCAGGCTCGAGCGAGGGCAGGAGGGAGGTAGGAAGAAGAACGTCGCGGCCGGCAGGTAGGAGGAGGAAGGAGGAGGGACCGAAGGAGGAGGAGGAGGAGGAGGGGAGGAGGAAGTTGCCTCGGAGTGCCTACATCCACAGGAGGTGAGGAAAGGAGGAGGAGGAGGAGGAGGAGGAGGGAGGAGGAAGAGGAAGAGGAGGAGGAGAGGAAGCGAGAGAGGACGAAAGGAGGAATGATAAGACGAGGACGAGGAGGAGGAGAAGGAGGAGGGGGTGGAGGGGGAGGGGGAGATGGCAAGCTAGGTGCGCTCGCGTTATACCTGACATCCTACCCCTCCCTCCCATCCCTTACCATGGCGCAGATCCCCTCTCTACTCGCACAGTCGGATGTCGAGCAGGGCAATGATCCCGAAAGGGTACGCGATGCACTGTAGAGCACGGCATGGTATGGCGTAGAAGAGCACCGCGAAGCGTAGTATCAATCTAGCACTGCATTGCATGCCGTGGTATGGCACGGGAAATGACGCCACCGCTGCAGCGGGAGCACGAGTCGAAACGAACGGAAGCGCGGAAATGAGGCCAACGCTGCAACGGGAAAACGATTCGGAACGAGCGGAAGCACGCCGGAATCGGCCCGGGAGGCTTCCCGGGCGCCAGAAGCAAAAATTCAGCATTTTCAGAAAAACACTGTGTATTGGAATGGCCTTTTTTCGGCGCCGCCTCGGAACTCGATTTTCCGGCGCCGGCCGGAACCGGCTCCGGGACGGGAAGGATGAGGGTGAGGAAGAGAGAAAGGAGGAGGAGGAGGAGGAGGAGGAGGAGGAGGAGGAGGAGGAGGAGGAGGAGGAGGACCCCAGGGAGGAGGAGGAAGGAGGGGGAGGGGCAAGAGGCAGGAGGAGGAGGGGAGGAGGAGGGGGAGGAGGGAGGAGGAGGAGGAATGATGGAGGAGGGAGGGGATGGCGCGAGGTAATGAGGATGAGCAGGCGGAGGAGACGGATAGGAGGAAGGAGCTGAGGGGACGAAGGACAGAGGGTAGGAGGGGGAGATGGAGGAGGAGGGGCGAGAGGAGGAAGCGAGGAGGGAGGGGAGAAGGAGGAAAAGGAGGAGAAGGAGGAGGAGGAAGAAGGAGAAGGAGGGAGGAGGGGTCGCCTAAGCCCTTCGGAGAAGCCCTCCAACCCTCGGAGGTCCGCTGGGAGGTCGGGGAGCGGCGCGCCTCCCCCGGCCAGGCACCCAATGCCGATCCAAGACGTCCGCGCGGTGAGGATCTGGGACGAGAGCGATGTCATTGAGCGTCGTTTCACCTCCTCCTCCTCCTCCTCCTCCCTTCCCCTCCTCCTCCTCCGTCCATACTCCCCCCTTCCTCCTCCCTCCCTCATCCTCCTTCCTCCTCCTCCTCCTCCTCGTCCTCCTCCATCTCCCCCCTCAATCTCATCCTCTGCTCCTCCTCCTCCCCCTCCCCCTCCCTCCTCCTCCATTCCCCCACCCCTCCTTGCTCTCCTCCCCTCCTCCTCCTCCACCCCTCCCTCCATCTCAACCCTCCTCCTCCACTCCTTCCTCCTCCCCTCCTACCTTTCATCCTCCCTCCTCCTCCCCCTCTCCTCCTCCTCCTCCTCCTCCTCCTCCTCCTTCTCCTCCTCCTCCAGGATCTGGGACGAGAGCGATGTCAATGAGCATCGTTGCACCGATCCCCATCCCCACCAGCGCGGGCTGGGCGCCACTGGCCGATGTAGCCTCCCTGGATGGGAACCTAGGCTGCCCTCTTCAGGCATCGAGGGGCATCTCCCCGACGGAGGTGGTGAGACGGTGGGGCTCGAGGTGTGGATGGGGATGGGGATGGGGATCGGTTAAACGATGCTAAGTCATGTCCCGATTGGATGCGCGCGTGCCACTACTCGCAAAGTGGCTGCTCGCAAATCGCCTGGATCCGCCGCGGGGGAGCTACGATACATTGCATCGAAGCAGGCGTGTGCTTTTCGGGGTTTCCGAGTAGGATCTTTGCGAGTAGTGGAACGCGCTCGGTGACTCATGCGCCTGGCTCGGGGCGCGCTGGGGCAATGCTCTGGAGAAGCTGGTGGCCCTTGTTGCCACGGAATCTTAGGAATGAAGGGCCCAGAGACACACGGCTACATACGCACGAGTGCCAAGATTCCCGAACGATACCAGCCTTGGACAGTGCCATTACCATGATTTCTTTCGACGGTGTGCCGAGGGGGAAACGAGAGCGGGCAAGCCTTCTCGGAAGGTGGCGGGGGGCAGGGCTCGAGCTAAACAATGTTGATCCTCATCGCTTTGTTTTCGCGTTCCTGCGCTATGTTCTGCCCTTGCCGCGAAACGGAATCAAGACGAAAACGGCCCACGAAATCGCCAAAACACCGTTCGGCTCGAGCCCTGCGGCGAGGCTTCGGAGAAGGCTTCGAAATTAATCCGAAGGCCGGAGGCGATCTGAGCTGGAGAAGGCCCGCCCACTCCTCCCTCCCCCTGGGCGCGCCGCTGACTCTTCCTCCTCCGAGCATCGGCGAGGTGCAGTGGTTGGTACAATTCTCCGCCGGAAGACCACGTGCAGCAGCAACGACAGCACGGCCTCGACCTCATCGGCAGAGGCCTGGAAGGCGTAGTAGTAGGCGAGCAGCGTCTGCGCGTAGAGCCGTATCATCGCGCACGCGTGCGAGAGGAACATCTGGTCGCCCGAGCGCTCGCCGGTGGCGTCGCGCAGGAAGAGGCTCAGCGACTCAAGCAGCGCCCTGACGCGCAGGAGGCATCTGTACGCCTCCGCCATGCCTGGCCGGGGCCATCCTGAGGCCTGGCTTGGTGCAAAGCTGCTCCCACCTGGCCGAGGCCAGGAACGTCGTCCAAGGACAAAGGGGGCTCATAGAGGCCTCCCAGATGGGGTCAGAGTAAATGGGGTTGGAGCATCGCGCCGCATCGCCGATGCATTGGCGATATATCGAGGATGCATCGGCGATGCGTCGGCGGCGTCGGCGTGGAGAAAATCGGGCTCCGCATTGAGCCGCATCGGCGATTTATCGGCGATGCGGCGCGATCCTCCGACCCCATCTACTCCGACCCCATCTAGGAGGCCTAGAGCTCAGGGGAACACAGATAAGACACAACTTCTAGGAATACGTGCTTGTTCGTATTTCTTGGGTATTCCTCTCCCACTCCAGTTCGTGTAGTTTGTTCCTGGCTCTACTGATGTTAGCGCTCCTCTGTGCTGCGTGACGTCTTCTCCACCTGAAAGGATGCACCGCCTGGGTCCCAGGACGAGCCTGGCCGGGCATACCGGTGGTGTGCACTGCGCCGCCTGCGCACCTGACGAACGCGGGGCCCCCCAGCATCGCGAAGAAGGCCACCGAGTGTCGCGCTGGCGGGGTCTGGGCCAGGCCCTGCGCCATGTCGTGCAGGACCAGCGCCTGGAAGTGGCACTCCCGGTGGAAGATGGCGGCGCACTTGTGCGGCACCTCGCCGGGGCCGGGGGAGGGCCCCACCGCCACCAGGCGCCCGACCCAAGAGATGGAGCATCGTTGGCCGATCCCCATCCCCGCGGGCGTGACCTCGGCCCACTGGCCGACTTACCCGCCAGACGTAATCATGAGGGTAGATCGGCGGCTCTCTTCGGATCTCGAGGGGCATGTCCACAACTGGGGCGGTGGGATGGTGGGGCTCGGGATGGGGATGGGGATAGGGATCGGTTGAACGATACTGAGGGCGGCCACAAGCATACGATGTCTTGATTTCTCTAGGTCGCCCAAGTTCGCGAATCGCGACCCGCGATGCACGATATCTTCGCGCATTCTCGCTGGCAACTCGGAGAAGAGCGGCCGCACCGGCCCAGCCCGCGCAGCTCGAGGCGCGATTCTCTTCGCACCCACCCCCAACCCGCGGGCGGCATAGATTTTTCGGCACCAGGTATCCGCTCGAAGTACTGACGCTCTTGCCCCGTACTCGACGCCCAGCCTGACGCCAAGCCCAATGCCCTGCCCAGCCCCCGACCGCCGACCCAACACCCGACGCCTAACCCGAAACCCGACGCCCGACACGACTCCGACGGCCGACCCGACCCCCTACCCGACCGACGCCCAGCGCGGCGACGCCCAACCCGACGCCGTGCCCACTCGAAGTCCCGACTCCTCCTCCTCCGCCTCCGCCTCCTCCTCCTCCTCTTGAGCCTGGCTCTCGATCCGGAGCCCTCGCTTCTCCGAGCGCTCCCACAGCTCGGCGAGGGCCCCCCCCTGCAGGCCGACTGCGGCGACACAAACATGTGTCCTGACTGTTTCGCACGACGCTGGCTGTGGGCGGGTTCCCCTGGGTTCGTAGGCGGCCCGAGGAGGGGAGGTCGAGGAGGAGGAGGAGGAGGAGGAGGAGGAGGAGGAGGAGGAGGAGGAGGAGGAGGAGGAGGAGGAGGGGGAGGAGGGGGAGGAGGAGGAGGACGAGCAGGAGGAGGAGGAGGAGGAGGAGGAGGAGGAGAAGGAGGAGGAGGAGGAGGAGGCGGAGGAGGAGGCGAAGGAGGAGGAGGAGGAGGAGGAGGAGGAGGAGGAGGAGGAGGGGGTGGGGGAGGGGGTGGAGGAGGAGGAGGGAAAGGAAGAGGAGGGAAAGGAAGAGGAGGGAAAGGAAAAGGAGGAGGAGGAGGAGGAGGAGGATTTTTTAAACATGAACCATGCCTGGCAATACCAGGTCTGCCAGTAAAGAAAACCCTTTCGGTGACTGAGCGGGACGGGCCACTCGGACACCAGGGCGCCAAGGACGGAGGAGCCACAAAGCCCCCGCGGCCCTTACACGATCACGTTGCCAGGAGCCACGACCTCCAAACCTCCACGAGGTCTCGCAGCGCTCTGCGCCTTACCCCACCAAACCCACGTCTGGGGCCTGGCGGGGACTTCACTAGACGCCATTGCGACCAGAGAAGGAAAAAAAACCTCCACCCCACGAGAAGGGCAGGAGGACTGGGGGTGAGCGACGGTCGGGGCGTCCTGGTTTCCAAGTCCACCCCCGTGCCCACGGCTCCCACCGAACCGTCCCTGCGCAACAGTCGCCAGGGGAACTGGCCGTGCAACAGGGACAGCTGCCCCAAGGGGGGAAAAGGGAAGGGAAGGAACAACGCCGGCAGGAGGAACCCGAAAGTTCGGGTTCCAGGGCTGGCAGCGTAACCAGCACCCCCGCCAGAGCGCATGCCCAACCCCACCAGAGACCCCAGCCTGAGCCAGGGAGAAAGAGAACCACCAGGGGCAGAGCATCGGTCGGGGCAGACTGGCACAACCAATCAAACCCCGTGCCAGAAACCCACAGGGTGAGCCCCACCACGGTACGCAGTGAAAAGGACGGCCAGCCGCTGCAGGCTGACGGAACCCCTAGGCTCGGGCACTCAGGCCGGCTGCGAGACACCCGCACCGTCCACCTGCAAACGGCTAAAACCCCAGATCGAACCTGCTAGTGGCTTGGTCGATCACACAACAAGAATGCACGTGCAGCGCTCCTTCCCCTACAACAAGGGGTGCCTGATACGCGTGCAGCACGTGTGCACACACGCACTCGCACAAATCCTGTAATACCTTAGGCGACGCCAGGACGACGCGGCAATGTTCACCCCTGGTGTAAAGAACGCCAGGACGGTAGGCATGCTCCATCCCTGGTGTAGGCCTGACACTCAGCCGATGAGCCAGTGCTCCCGTGGCGGAGCCCTCCAGATGAGCCCTAGGCCACTGGTCGGAGCGAACTAGGCAACTGGGCCCGCCTTCTTCCACTCCAACGCGGGGGGGAAAAACTGCAATCGGGAGCGAAGCAAGAAGTGTCGGCACACAAAGAAGAATCGTTAGTCGGGGTATCCGCTGCCGTCTGCATCGACGGCAGAGTCTGGCTGCTGGAATTCCGCTTCTAGGGCATACAACAACTCGGGCGAAACTTCAGTAACATCCCCTTCAAGCTTGGGGTGACGCCCCTTCAGCACTCTGCAGTACCACCTCTGCAAATTGTTGCGGGCCGGGGCCTGGCATTCACTCGCCAACTAAGCCAGCTGCCCTAAGGTGGAAGCCGCTTTACACTTAAAGCAAATGAGCGGGTGATATCGATCGCTGCATTCAAAACTCAAAAACTTGTGTCCTCTGGCTCCTACCTTTAGCGACGGCTCTGGCACCTCCCCCGAGCAACCCTCGGCGGAGCGCATCTCACTGTGGCCAACCACAAAATCAGGGTTGTGAAGTCTTATCTTGAGGCACACTGCACACCCCCAGTAAGATCTGTGCCATTCCCACACATGATCAGCAGAGGGCGGGGAAGGAGGCTTCTGGTGAGGCACTCTGGGGGCCAGCTGGGCACCCGCGAGGTCCAGGGCGGGCCAGAGGGGCAAAAGACGAGCCGCAAAAAAACACAAACAGAACGTGCAACCTTCATCTGCCACTCTATCTGGTCCAGCTCGGTGGGGCCCCCTGTTGGGTGAGACGAAACGCCAGACTTTGCTGCTGCAACTCTCTGTTACCGACTTTATCCCACTGTTGCTGCTCAGTGAGATCTGGGTCATCTTCCACATGGGCTTTAACTTTGAATGGCTTCTGTAGCAGAGCACCTCGAGCCAACATCATTGTGCCGGCGTAAACACGCTTATATGGATAAAAAAAAAAAAAAAAAAAAAAAAAAAAAAAAAAAAAAAACGCTCCGTCTGTGGCATCTGGAACACATCCACAACGTTTTTGCAGAAACCTTCCGCAGGGCCCGCGAGATTGTTGGCCACCATGGCCAGGACCCCGAAATCTCCCGCTTGGGGAGTCTGAGGGAGAGGTCCCCAAACTGGCCCTGCGACCCTGACCAGCCGCTTTTGTTCCCCTTTGGTGACCTGTACATATCCCCACGAGGCTCTGCTAAGTTCTTTAATGGGATGTCTAGTGCATCCACCGTCCAAGAACGTCGCCCCTGGAACTTCACCTGGGCCCCTGGGAGCTCTGCTTCATGGAATTGCACTTGAATGCCCTCTGACATCCTTGAGCCTGGTAATCGATCCCCAGGGTGCTCGAAGACTCCCTTGGTATACAGCAGCACTTCCTTAGTGTTGTGAGGATCTAGGGCGGGGGGCGCGTCTATGATCTGCTGATCAACAAGGTCTTCGCGAACGTCGCTGCAATCAGTGCACTGCCAGAGCCGATGCTACACTCCATCTGGATACTGCTAGCAGAGCGGACACTGAGGCGAGGGCAGTTGGTAGCCTAGCTCGATTGCAGGCCTCTCGCCCAGAGGGCGCCGCGCGCGAGAGACTTGACGCAGCCCTTCTCAAAAAAAAGAAATCATCTTGGACCTCAGGGAACCTGCCACGATGTCGAAACATGCTCGGCCCTCGATCCCAATATTTGTACTAGCATCGCGTTCGAGCTGCCTCAAGACCCCTTCCGTCAAAAAAATCTTGACTAAGGCGGGCGAGCACGTCGTTAAAATACTAGCTTCCTGAAAATCGTGCTGAAGTTCGGCGTCGGCATCGTTCCTCATCGTGCTGAAGTTCGGCTGAAGTTGGCGTGGCCACCATGAGGACTGCAACTCTCCTCAACGAAAGCTCCCCCTCTGGAACACCGAACGCCGAGTCCCAAGCCTCGCGAAGGACGTTGAAAGGGAGGGTGTGCGCGAGCTGCCTAAGCTGCGTGGCGTACACCTCCTTGGCGCATCTAACAGCTGGCGCGACAGCTCCGAACCACGGGGGGCCGCCGTGCAAGATGAGGAGGGCCGTCAGGGCCGTCAAAGACCGCATTCCTGCCGACGGTCGAAGAACAAATCCTAACCTTCTCCTGCACGAGCTCAACCCGTAATCTGAAACACCATGCACACCCGAGCCGTAGTAGAGGCCAGCAATCGGGCCACTGGTACAGACTTGCCGAAAATGAGCTCCTAACGCATTATCTGCTCTCTTGAACCTTTTGGTCCTCTGCTTGAACAACTTGGAACGCTCTCGATGTGTATTTCCTCGTCCTCTCTGTCGTCTGCTTCTGCCAGCAGCGTCGTCTACCCCTAAGTTGACGGCGAAATCAGCGAGCGTAGCTCCTCCGTACTTACCTGGGGCCTCGTGCGCAGTGCGACCTACCTTGGCGGAAGAACATCTAACAGACGATCTGTCCTGAGCAGCAGACGACTTCAACTCCGCCGTCAAACCTCAAGAGAAGCTGGGCGGCAGTATGGGTGATGTCTGAAGTAACCTGTTTACCGCCCTCAATCGAAGATATGCCGTAGTCGTCGGCGTATATATCGAGAGTGGTCGTGGGAGGGAATGAGACCGGATCTACAGTAGGGATCACGGACACACGCACATGCGACGTGGCGGTAGAACATCCAGCTATCACTCCACTCTCAGCAAAATGCGGCCCATTAACTTGACTGGCCATGCTAAAATAGGGCGGGCCTCCATGGGCCGCCAGGCTGGCTCGGTAAAGCTGCGGCGGGAAATCGAAAAACTCAGCGCGGCTTTCCAGCTCGACCAAATCTATCGACTCATAGAATTTCATCAGATCCCAAAGGACCTTGCGCGCAACGTCGTTCGACTGCTTGTGTGTGTTGGTCCCTTGGCTCATGGAAGAGCCCGAACTGCCTTCTCAGCTTTCGCTGCCTGTCGCCAGACGACGTCAGCTGCTCCAGCGTGAGGTGTCGTGCTCCCAACGCGCAGAGCGAGGCCTTCTCAACTTGTCCCAAAGCCTGTAGAACGAGCTGGAGAGTCCCATGGGCCGCCAGCCTACAGCTGGCTTCTCCAAAAGAGGCGCCAAGATGGTGCGAACCTGGCTGGGCACCAGCGCCGTCGATTCCATTATGCGCATCAAGGACATCAGGGTCATCAAAGCACCATCAGACACGGACGCATAATGCTTCATGTGGAATCCATCTAATGGGACCGTTGATGCCGCTGTATACATACGAGCTGCTTCACGTACGCGTTGAGGGCGAAAGAACTCCAGAGGCTGAATGTACTCCTGCTGAGGTTTAGTCTTACCTCCCGAACAGCTCCTCCAACGTTTGCTGAACGTGGCAGCCTCGCTGCTGAGGACCGACAGAGGCTGACAGGGTGCTCGTGGGGATCCACTCCTTAGGCAACCTGGTCCACCTGCGGGCTCTCCCAACGCCTTTTTGAACCCCCATCGAGAAGCCAAGCTGTCCAATCCTTGTGCGACTCATTCTAAGCCTTCATTTATGGAGCGCTCACCCAGCCCCTCGGGGATCTTACTTCGAATATCGCGGCCTACACCTAGATCCGCAAAGGCCTCTGGGCCACCGAAGACTGTGTAATCCTCCGAAAACTTAATGACATCCTTCACAGACTGGTACAAATATTTGAATTCCCCCTGGAGGTACCTGCTGATCACCATCGCTGCCCCGGACAGGCACTGAACGAGCTTGGCTCTTCAAAAGAATCATGCCGTGCACGCTTTTGCCACTCCTGTAGCGCGCTGGCAAGAAGGCGGAAGGTGCTCCCCAGCCAGCGCGGGGGGAGTGCAGGGTCGGTTGCTTCACCTCCCTTCTACTGTCCACTCCCAAGGCCGGCTTCCGCAACAATTTAGGCAGCCGGCCCCGGCAACCTGCAACAGGATCTTCAAAATGTCGTGACTGGCAACCTTCGAGCTCGGTTAACCTGGCCCACTGCTTGCACAAGTACCCAGATGACGCTGAATACTTGCCTTTGGGACCCCGTTGCGAACCACGTGGAGTCCGTGTTGGGAGCAATCCAAAATAGAATCCCAGACGGGGCCCTCTGGGACCGGGCCCATCGGGATCTCACAAGGGACAGCAGGGAGCTTCTGGAAGGTAAGGTAATGTATATCCGCAAGCTTGGGGTAGAAGCTGACCTGCACTGGCTTCTGGGTCTTGATATCGCTTTTCTTAATATCGCTTTCCAGGGCAAGGCGGGTGGATTTGACGTATTTAGCTAACCCTCCCGAGACCGCCACGTAGTCAAGCAAGCGGCTCTTGTCGGACACTGCTGTGGCGCACGTGCCCTCGACTGACGGGTTGATGATCCTGCTGCCGAGGCTCTCGGCCAGGTCACTCCCATGGAGCTCGGTCGGCTCCATGTTGAAATCTCATCCTATGATGTGGGGTGCATTGGTGCTCTGTGGCAAGGCTCCAACTCCTGCAATCACTTTCCAATTCTCAGTAGAGAGGCCCTCGGAATGTTTCAGGTAGACCGACATGCGCACCATAGACTCACCCCCTGGAATCTGAACCCAACATGCCATGGCTTTGCTGGGGTGCACCATGGGCAACTGCACCAAGTCATGCATGCCCAAGAACGATCAGGCGAAGATCGCCACTACGCGCCCCCTCGAGACGCTCCAGCTGCTGGCCTCCGAAACCTGGCATCCGTGGATCAGCGTGTGTTCCTGGAGGCACGCAACATGCGCCAACGTCCTCAACGGCCATGACTTGGCGGATCCCCACGAAGTGACATTGGCCGTCTCTACGACCAATCCAAAAGCCTCAAGCCCTGGAAAATTCAGAGACCCCAAGGAGTCACCAAGGGGTTCAGCATCTGGCAGGGGGGGGCGGAAGACGGCACAGCCGTGGCAAAACTGATGAGTCAGAAGCTTGACTCGCAGCTGGCTTACTGAAATGCAAAGGATCTCCCTCATTGGGAAGGCTCAGACGACGAAGCGGCAGATGCGGTAGCTGCTGCTGTAGCGGCCCAGCAGCACGCTCTGTTGGTGCTCGTTTGCCCCCTGCACGATCAAGCACTGGCCGTGGCACTCGGTGCAGGGGGCGTTGCTTGGTTGGCTGCGCGGCGAGCGAGCTCCCTGATGTCCGAAGGTTCTCCTCGGGATGGCGAGGCCTTCTGTTCGGCAGCCCCGTCCACTCCTGAATATCCAGCTCCATCTCTGCTGCGTGCTCCTCCGTCGCCGCCATCTCCCGCGGCTGGGGCTCCATCGGGCCCATTCCCCTTCATCTTCCCCAGGCGGGCCATGTGGGTGATATGTTGCTGATTGATCTCGTCAATCTTGGAAATGCTGTCTCCCAGCGCCTGCTTGGTGGCCTCCGCGACGTTGGCCTTGAGCTCGCCGGTTCGCTTCTGGAGGACCTGCGTGTCCCCATCGGTGGTATCGTACTCATCCTCTGGAACGCAGAAAGTCTCTCCCGCGTCCGTGAACTCGATAGTGTCAACTTTGCCTTCGGCGAGGCCGCGCAGGCGAAGACCGTTAGCAGCAGCAGGGGTAGGCGGAGCATCCTGTTGCTTGTGACACACCTCGCTGCGCAACTGGTCGACCTACTGCTTGTGCTCCTTGTCCGCTGCCTCGAGCTCCGCTGGAATCTGAATGACTGATGTGGCCTTCTCATCACACCGTTTCCTCCACTTCTCGAGCTGCTCGGCGGCCGCATTGAGCTTCTTCTCCAGGAACTGAACTCGTTGGTGGGCCGACGTGGCCCTTTGCGGGAAGGGCTTCTCCTCGGGCTGCTTGGACGCAGCACGGAGCCTCTCCAGCGCGATCTGATACTGAGCAGCTGCAGCCACGTCTCCAAAGCGCTTCGCGCAGGACACCATGTTCTCCAACTCTGACTCCGACAGGGTCTCACCAGTCTGGATCGGCTGGGGCCCTGGCTGCAGTGCTGGTGGTCCATTGGCCCAGGCTCCCAGACGACGGGCACGAGGGTCGTCGTCGTCGGGCCTCGGCGCCTTGCAGTGCTTGCAGAACCAGTAGGACTGCAGGTTCTTGCTCGCACTGGCAGTGCTCGCGCAGGTTCTCTGCACCTTTGCCTCCAGATCCTTTTTCCTGCGCCTTTGGCTGCATCATCTCCTCCCTTACCGTAAGTCTTGGTGCCCTTTGCTCTTCCTCCTTTTTACGTGTTGCCCCAATTTGTGTACTCCGCCCAGGCGTCCTCGCGCGACCAAGCTCGCGAAACCCATGGCAGCGTGCCTGGCATCTTGAAGAGGAGATTCTGGCAAGTGAATGGCTCGCCTTTGCAGCGTGCCGTCTTGAAGTTCGCAAAGGCAAGGCCCCCGCGCTCGCGGCAGGCGGTCGGGGCCCAAAAACGGCTGGGAGGAGGAGGAGGAGGAGGAGAAGGAGGACGGGTCACCTAAGCCCTTCGGAGGAATGGGGGAGGGGGAGGAGGGAGGGGGAGGGGGAGGGGGAGTGGGAGGGGGAGCGGAGGAGGAGGCAGAGGAGGCAGAGGAGGCAGAGGAGGAGGAGGAGGAGGAGGAGGAGGAGGAGGAGGAGGAGGAGAAGGAAGACGGGTCACCTAAGCCCTTCGAAGAGATGGGGGAGGGGGAGGAGGAGGGAGGGGGAGGGGGAGGGGGAGTGGGAGGAGGGGGCGGGGGAGGAGATGGAGGAGGAGGAGGAGGAGGAGGAGGAGGAGGAGGAGGAGGACGGGTCACCGAATCCCCTGGGAGAAATCCTCCGGCTGGCTGTCCACCTTTCGGGACGGAACTCTGGCCTCCAACGGCCGCAGGATCCAGCAAACATCTGCGACACTCTCGGCGTGGCAGGACCGCTGGAAATCCCGGGGCGAGGAGACCCACCCATACCCGAGGGAACGATCTAGAAGAAGAAAAATAATATGACTAATAATAATAATACTGATAATGATACTATTAATCATATAATTATTATCAATAATAATAACAAAACCACGCAAACATAAAATGTTGGCGCCTCCGGCGCCGCCCCTGACGCGCTCCGCGCGCCAGGGAGGGTGGCCCAGCGCGAATCCAAGAAATCCGCGCGGAGAGCCAAACATTTATGTTTATGTGGTTGCTTCTTCTTCTTAGGCTATCGGAAACCTCGAGCCGTCAACAAAAAACAGAAGGCCTCAAAACGTCAGATGCCGGGGCGCGATCGGAGACCTACTAACTGGGAACAATGCACGCCAAGTTTAGTCGGAAGGTCCTGCAAGATCCTCCAGGATTCTGCACCCAAACCAGGGTCAGAGCAACCCTGGCTCTGCAAAATCCTGCAAGACCCGGCGATCTGACTGACCCCATTTGCATTGACCCCCGTCTCTTAAGTCCCACGTGAGCTTCCCTCCCCTCTCCGGAACGGCCTCGGCGAAGTTCGCAGTCAGGTCCAGCGCCTGTGGGAGGGCGCCAGCAGTACGCTTGCACCGCATCCTGGCCAAGAAGGCGTATACACCGATCCTGGGCCCAGAATGGGCCTGGAAGGAGAGCCTCGTTTGTCCGTCCCCTATCCCCACGGGCAAGGCCTGGCGCCTCTGGCCGCCGCCCCCCCTGGATGGAGATGCAGGCCGTTCCCTTCGGGCTTCGAGGGGCCCATCATATCCCCAACTTGGGTGGTGGGATGGCGGGGCTGAGACACCATGGCCCCGTGGGGATGGGGCTGGGTCAAACCCTGACCCTTTGGGAGGGGGCCCAAGCTGGGAGGGCCACAGACATCAGGGATAGGGGCCGTTCTGCAGATTATCACGCCACACCGCCCAAACCTATGATCCCTGATGCAAAGAAGGGGACCTGCGTGAGGCGGCCACGTCTTCACTGTGTCGCTAGGGTTAGGGGTTTCTGGATCCTCTCAAAAGGCACGCCAAACTGGGTCAGGATCGGCGCAAGCGTGCCGTGGGCGCCCCCTCCGCCTGCTCCACCAAGGCGCAGCAGTCGTGCTGGTGCAACCGGAGCGCCCGGCTCACCTGGACCCGCGCGCCCGCGCGTACGCGCGCAGGCGCGGGCGCGAGCGCGGCGCGGAGGCGCGCGGCGCAGAGGCGCGCGAGCACGGCGACGAGGGGGCGGGGAGGACTTCGCCGCCGCCGCCGCCATTGTCGTCGCCGTCGTCGTCGTCGGAGGTCAACTCACGGAAGCTGTTTGTCGTCCCCATGGCGCCCAATAGCGCCCCCAATCGGGCGCAGAGCGGACATAATTCATCTCCCTCACATGGCGCTGTTGCGCGCTATTTGAGCGCTGTTCGGCGCTTCTGGGCGCTATTTAGCGCCACTGAATGCTGTTGGGCACTAGCCGCCGATACATACACATAGATGTACACATACACACACATATATATATATATATATATATATATATATGTGGTGCAGTACCCCTGTTGGGCAGGCCCCCCTCCCCAAGCTGATTCAAGAAAAACATCCTTGGTGTTAGACGTGTCCCTGTGTGGTGCAACACCCTCTGCTGGGTAAGGCCCTACCCCAAGCTGTTTAAACATAGCATCCTTGGTGTTAGACATGCCCCTGTGTGGTGCAGTACCCTCTGCTGGGCAAGGTCCCTCCCCGAGCTGATCAAAACAAGATAACATCCTTGGTCTTAGACGTGCCCCTGTGTGGTGCATCACCCTCTACTAGGCAAGGCTCCTCCCCAAGTTTATATAATCAAACGCATCCTTGGTCTTAGACGTGCCCCTGTGTGGTGCAGCGCCCTCTGCTAGGCGAGGCCCCTCCCCAAGCTGATTCAGAACAACATCCGTGGTGTTAGACGTGTCCCTGTGTGGTGCAACACCCTCTGCTAGGCAAGGCCCTTCCCCAAGCTGTTTAAACATAACATCCTTGGTGTTAGACGTGCCCCTGTGTGGTGCAGTACCCTCTGCTGGGCAAGGTCCCTCCCCGAGCTGATCAAAATAAGAGAACATCCTTGGTCCTAGACGTGCCCCTGCGTGGTGCATCGCCCTCTGCTAGGCAAGGCTCCTCCCGAAGTTTATATAATCAAACGCATCCTTGGTGCTAGACGTGCCCCTGTGTGGTGCAGCGCCCTCTGCTAGGCGAGGCCCCTCCCCAAGCTAATTAAACATTTCAGCCCTGGTGTTAGACGTGCCCCTGTTTGGTGTAGTGTTCTCTGCTAGGCAAGTCCCCTCCCCGAGCTGATTGAACAAGCACCCTTTGTGTTAGACGTGTCTTGCTGTGGTGCAGCACTCTCTGCTAGGCAAGGCCCCTCCCCAAGCTGACTCAAAAACAAATCTTTGGTCCTAGACGTGCCCCTGTGTGGTGCAGCACCCTCTGCTAGACAAGGTCCCTGCCCGAGCTGATTAAAACAGCATCTTTGGTGTTAGACGTGCCCCAGTGTAGTGCAGCACCCTCTGACAGGCAAGGCCCCTTCCCCAAGATAATTCAAAACACATTCTTGGTGTTAGACGTGCCCCTGTGTGGTGCAGTACCCTCTGCTAGGCAAGGCCCCTCCCCAAGCTGATTCAAACACGAACATCCTTGGTGTTAGACGTGCCCAAGCGTGCTGCAGCACACTGCCAGACAATGCTCCTCCCCAAACTGATTCAAACAAAGCATCCTTGCTGGTGCAGCGCGCTCTGTTAGGCAAGCCCCCTCCCCGAACTGATTCAAACACGCATCCTTGGTGTTAGGTGTGCCCCTGTGTGGTGCAGCACCCTCTGCTAGGCAAAGCCCTTCCCCAAACTGTTTAAACATAGCATCATTGGTGTTAGACGTGCCCCTGTGTGGTGCAGTACCCTCTGCTGGGCAAGGTCCCTCCCCGAGCTGATCAAAACAGGAACGCATCCTTGGTGTTAGACGTGCCCCTGCGAGGTGAAGCGCCCTCTGCTAGGCAAGGCCCCATCCCCAAGCTGATTGAAACATATTATCATTGGTGCTAAACGTGCCCCAGTGTGGTGCAACGCCCTCTGTTAGGCAAGCCCCCTTCCCCAAACTGATTTGTTTACAAACCAAAAAACATCCTTGGTGTTAGACGCGCCCCTGTTTGGCGAAGCGCCCCCTGCTAGGTAAGGCCTCTCCCCAAGCTGATTGAGAACAAAAATATCATTGATGCTAGACGTGCCCCCTGTGCGGTGCAGCACCCTCTGTTGGGCAAGGTCACTCCCCGAGCTGATTAAAACAGAATCCTTGGTTGTAGACGTGCCCCACTGTGGTGCAGCACCCTCAGCTAGGCAAGGTCCCTCCCCGAGCTGATTAAAACAGCATCTTTGGTGTTAGACGTGCCCCAGTGTGGTGCAGCACCATCTTCTAGGCAATGCCCCTCCCCCACCTGAATGAACATAAGTGTTAAACGTGCCCCAGTGCGGTGCAGCACCCTCTGCTAGACAAGGCACCTCCACGAGCTGATTAAACATAGAAAACACATCCTTGGTGTTAGACGTGCCCCTGTGTGGTGCAGCACCCTCTGACAGGCAAGGCCCCTCCCCAAGCTGATTAAATCCACCATTCCTGGTGTTAGACGTGCCCCTGCGAGGTGTATCGCCCTCTGTTAAGCAAGGCCCCTCTCCAGTTTCTTTTGCCCCAAAGATAGATATAAATATAAATCCTTGGTGCTAGACGTGCCCCACTGTGACTGTGGCGCAGCACCCTCTGCTAGGCAAGGCCCAACCCCAAACTGATTCAAAACACATCCTTGGTGTTAGACGTGCCCCGGTGTGGTGCAGCACCCTCTGCTAGGCAAGGCCCCTCCCCAAACTGACATCTCTCTCTATATATATGTGTATATATAGGCATATATATCTATCTATCTATCTATCTATCTATTTATCTATCTATCTATCTATCTATCTACCTATCTCTCTCTATATATATATATACATTGCCCTGGCAACCGGGGATCCCCGTTCGAGCCGCGCCGAAGACGCTATCTGAAGACGCTACTCCCTGTGAAGATGCTATTCCCTGCGAAAACGCTTTTCCTGGTGAAGACGCTGTTCTTTATGAAAACGCTATTCCAAGGGAAGACGCTATTCCCTGTGAAGACGCTATTCCTGGTGAAGACGCTACTCCCTGTAAACACGCGCTTTGCGGACACAAACAACACTTCCCTTATGAAGACGCTATTCCCGGTGAGGACGCTATTCCTGGTGAACACGCTACTCCCTGTAAAGACGCGCTTTGCGGACACAGACAACACTTCCCTTATGAAGACGCTATTCCGGGTGAAGACGCTTTTCCCGCTGAAGACGCTATTCCTTGTGAAGACGCTATTCCGGGTGAAGACGCTATTCCCGGTGAAGACGCTATAGTGAAGACGCTATTCCCAGAGAAGACGCTACTCCGGGTGAAGACGCTATTCCGGGTGAAGACGCTATTCCCTGTGAAGACGCTATTCCGGGTGAAGACGCTATTCCTTGTGAAGACGCTATTCGTTGTGAAGACGCTATTCGGGGTGGATACGCTATTCCGGGTGAAGATGCTATTCCCTGTGAAGACGCTGAATTCCGGGCGAAGACGCTCTTCCCTGTGAAGACGCTATTCCGGGTGAAGACGCTATTCCGGGTGAAGACGCTACTCCCTGTGAAGACGCTATTCCGGGTGAATGCGCTATTCCTAAAGAAAACGCTATTCCCTGTGAAAACGCTATTCCGGGTGAATGCGCTATTCTGGGTGAAGACGCTCTTCCCTGTGAAGACGCTATTCCCTGACGCTATACGGGGGGGAAAACGCTACTCCCTTATGAAGATGCTTTTCCGGGTGAAGACGCTTTTCCCGCTGAAGACGCTATTCCTTGTGAAGACGCTATTCCGGGTGAAGACGCTATTCCCGGTGAAGACGCTATAGTGAAGACGCTATTCCCAGAGAAGACGCTACTCCGGGTGAAGACGCTATTCCGGGTGAAGACGCTATTCCCTGTGAAGACGCTATTCCGGGTGAAGACGCTATTCCTTGTGAAGACGCTATTCGTTGTGAAGACGCTATTCGGGGTGGATACGCTATTCCGGGTGAAGATGCTATTCCCTGTGAAGACGCTGAATTCCGGGCGAAGACGCTCTTCCCTGTGAAGACGCTATTCCGGGTGAAGACGCTATTCCGGGTGAAGACGCTACTCCCTGTGAAGACGCTATTCCGGGTGAATGCGCTATTCCTAAAGAAAACGCTATTCCCTGTGAAAACGCTATTCCGGGTGAATGCGCTATTCTGGGTGAAGACGCTCTTCCCTGTGAAGACGCTATTCCCTGACGCTATACGGGGGGGAAAACGCTACTCCCTGTGAAGATGCTTCTTCTCTTTATTAGGCCCAGTGCTCAACGCGCTTCTCTCTCAATTGTAATTTGAATGTCCAATGTTACCCTACGCTTTCCGTGTCCAACACAACACGTGCCCCATTTGCTGTGCGACACCCTCTGCTAGGCAAGACCCCTCCCCAAGTGGTGTAAAAAAGAACCCTTGGTGCTAGACATGCCTCATCTGCTGTGCAACGCACTCTGCTGGGCAAGGCCCCTCCCAGAAGACCCCTCCCCAACTTGATGAAAAACAAATCCTTGGTGCTAGACGCGCCCCATCTGCTGCGCGGCAACCTCTGCTAGACCGGGCCCCTCTCCATGTTGATTAAAAAATAATCTTTGGTGTCAGACGTGCCCCATCTGCTGCGCGGCTCCCTGTACTAGGCAAAACCCCTCCCCAAGTTGATGAAACAAATGAATCCTTGGTGCTAGACGTGCCCCGTTTGCTGTGCGGCACCCTCTGCTAGGCAAGACCCACCCCCAAGTTGATTAAAACAGAATCCTCGGTGCTAGATGTGCCCCATGTGCTGCGCGGCACCTTCTGCTAGGCAAGACCCCTCCCCAAATTGATTAAAACATGAATCCTTGGTGCTAGACGTGCCTCATTTGCTATGTGGCACCCTCTGCTAGGCAATGGCCCTCCCCAGATTGATTGAAGAAGAATCCTCCGTGCTAGACGTGTCCCATCTGCTGTGCGGCGCCCTCTGCTAGGCAAGACCCCTCCCAAAGTTGATTAAT